CTCAATGGTTTTTTATGTTTATTGAAATTTATTTTATTTAAGGAGCACGGACTTGTATTTTAGATTAGACTGCAAATGAACAAGTCGTCAAGACAGCAAGAAGACTTTATCTCTGTGACTGCAATAGGCAGGCCTAGATACCGCAACCAGCTTGTGAAGTGACTTATTGCTTATGTATTTTTTTAAATAATTTATTTATTTAGAGATTTGAACGTTGTTGAACACGTCAGTCCTGTTAAAAAAACAATACTTCAAAAAACACTTAATAGAAACCAAACAGATAATCAAAATACTACATAACCAAACACGGTGTAGAAAATCTTCGCAGCACTACTTGTTGGCTCAGACAAAACAGATTGAATCAAACAAACATTAAAAGCACGAAAACTAATCTGTGCAAACAACCACACCCAGGTTCCGTACGAACACACTCCATGAGCAAATGATGTACATCCTCAGGAATTCCACGTACTTCGCAATTTGGAGAATTCACCCTACTTATAAAATACAAAAAATTGTTTAAAGGAGCGTGTTTGGATCAAAGCAAGTGCGCGCTGTCAATTGATGTGCAGATGTTTTCAGTGGTGGTAGGCCTAAATCAATCAGGGCAATAAAATTGATTCACGTTCAACACTCGCCGCGTGTACACTTCTTGTTAACCGACTTCAAAAAAGGAGAAGTTTCTTAATTCGATTGTATTTTTTTAGTGTATGTTACGCGATTACTCCGACATTTGTGAACCGATTTCGAAGTTCTTTTTTTGTTGGAAAGGAGGTGTAAAAGTAGTAGTCTAATGAATCAGGCATATTGGATTTCAGTCACATTTCGTTAACAGATTTTAATAAAACTTGAGAAATAGATATTATGTTTTATATTTCGATTATATTTCGACGGCCTCTGTGGTCGAGTGGCTTGCACACCAGTTTTCATGGTGTCGCCATTTCTGAGGTCCCAAGTTCGATCCCCGGCCGGGTCAGCGTAGAAAACTAACTTTTCGATATTGTCTCGGGTCTGGGTGTTTGTGGTACTGTCGTTGTTTCCGATTTCCATAACACAAATGCTATAGCTACTTACTTTGAGAACAGAGCACAGTATGTGATGTTGTCTAATGTATATATGAATAAAAATTAAATTTCAAAAATTAAGAAGTTCGTGACGCTGTGTTGATGTAAACATAGAAATCTGTACACTGTCTAAATTCAACGACATGCTGACTATATTTATTCCTTGCTCGCATACCAATCATGCGGCTCATGATAACAGATGTAAAAATTACGTGAGTAATGACCGTATGTTATCGGAGAAATAATTAAAATAGGCTTCTTGACGTATTCGAGTGCTACCAATAGCTAAAAAGGTTGAATTTACCTTAACACAATGAAATAATAATGGAATATCAAGTCATCGCGTCTCTAAGTACAGGTGAACATACCAGGTTATTTGTAAAATACTAACAACCTCTCTGGACCATATTACCAACATCATGTGCGGTCAGCGCAATTTACAATCTGGGCCCCAGAGTATCTTGTTTAAGGATATTAACATTCTTACACTAGCGCCACTGTACATTTATGAAAATGTAATTTATGTCAAGAGGAATAGTAATTTCTTTACGAAAATTTTTTATTTTTATATATCCGTACTTGGATAACAAAAATCCGTAACCCGTTTAGCTCATGGAGGTTGTCTCGATCTATGATGTTTGATAATAAAAAAATATATATTGTACATGTTGAATGTGTACAAACGTTATTTACAAATAGCAACCCCAAGAGTTTCGTGCTAATTTTTCTCAGGGAAATATGCCTTACGAAAGAGCGGTAGAGTTTAACCAATGTGACGATTTCGAGTGTAATAATGCTTACCTATGAAATGAAGATTATTTTGATTTTGATTCATAAACAATAATTTTTGTTCCATGACTTTTTACAAAACACCCTTCTTCTTATAAAACCCTGCTACTATTTTTCACTAGAGAGAGCTCCTCGTCCAGTGTAGTACTGCCACCTTACCAATTTCTGCCGCCAAGCAGTAACGACAGCATTACTGTGTTCCGGTTTTAAAGGATAAGGGTGCTGGTGAAATTACAGGCACATGGGACTTGTCGATTTATGTCTCAGGGTGACAGGCGCAGTGATAGTGCTCCTCAGGTCTTTGGGACTTAAAGCTCTGAGTGGCATTGTAACTGGTATGAACAGGCGTGTGCTTACCATCAGGCGCACGACTTGTTCGTCCCGTCACTTGATTTTATAAAAAAAAATTAAATAAATAGCCCTTTATAGATCTATCGCTATTAACCATAATAGCTAGTTCAATTGGTTTTTTTTAAGTGATTGTGTTGTTACTTTTATTGTATCACTGGTGATGTATTTGTACGCCCATGGATGGAAAGCGTGGCGTGATCGATTATGCGAAAAGTAAAATAACAATTGAGTATAGAAAATGTTAACGTCACTCCAATTTTTCATGGGGGTACAACATTTACAGCTATAAGTCTCCTTTTTATAAAGGAAGTAATATGTATTATTTTTGTTTGGAAATAAAACGTAATTACACTATTTATTTATTTATTTTTGTGAAAGTACTGTACTAGTTCTTTGTAATAATAATAATAATAACGTACTCCACATAGCCCCGCATTAGAGAAACTCCTGTGTCGCGGATGCCATGGCCTCACGCATAGATAACCGCAAACTTCACCCAAACTCACGAGAGAAATAGATGTAAGCCATACAAATATTTCTCCCGGCCTCTCTCTGCGTGGCAGTGCGGCATGGTAACCGTTCGGCCACAGAGGTAGTTTGGCTAATTGAGGCAAAGATTGAAAAAACGTAAAGCAAAATTCCGTCGATCCGGTTGCACTCCAACCAGTGACATTTTCGCCTATTAGTCTCTCAACGTAAAAGTGAAGAAATAACTTTCATAGTTTTGACACAAGTGGCGCTTCGGCAAAAAAACCGTTACAGCTAAAAACAAATATCTGCAAAAAGCACACAGAGAATTTTGTATGGTCTGCTGATTCGTTCCGTACCTAAGTTGGGAGAGCAATATCCCGCGTTAGGTGAAAATATCGCTGTTCGAGTCCAGCCGGATAAAAAGGAATTATTCTTTGAGCTTGTTTCATCTTTGTGTCAATTATAATATACTTACACTATCAAACAAATGCAATGCGCAAATTGCATTATACTAACATTTCAAATTTGAGTCAGCCCGTGAACACGGCCAGCGTAACCTGGCCGATACGTTCCTCGGGGTAATTAGGTAGGTGTGAAAAATACTTATTAAATTGTTTAATCGCGTTTATTCCCATTCTTACATGAAATTACTTTTTGCGGATCTCTACATGTGCTCTATTCTATTTGTTTTTTCAAACAAATCAACATGGTCCCAAGCAACTGGTGAAATTACAGGCGCATAATACTTGTCAACTTACGTTTGAGGGTGACGGGCGTAATTTTATTTGTTTATTTTATTTATTTATTTATTGTATAAAGGACAAAATACACAAATATGTAGGGCAGTGCCTTTGAAATATTTGCGATTTAAAGCTCTGAGTGGCACTGCAACTGTTATTAACAGACGTGTAGCTTACGACTTGTTCGTGCCGTCACCTGATATTATAAAAAAAGGCCTGGAAAAAACTCGAAACGATGATTTGTTTGAAATAACAAACACGCGATTGACATTCGAAATAAATATGTATTATTTTCGTCCCTAAGTTACTGACTACACGGAAAGTCACGAAAAAATTTATAAAAGGAACGAGCATTCTTTCGCCGTTGATTATGTCCTGCTTTTATTAAGTATTGTTTCTTTTTCCGAGCATATAAAAAAAGCTCTACGCCTATTAAATACAAAATTTAAAAATCTAAATTTTATTTGAAAGAATTACGTTTCCGCTCGATCAGATAAATGGAAAATGATTTAAATTTTAAATGTTCTTTTAAACTGGAAGGTAACAAGTTTGGTAAGACTTTGGGGCTAAAAAAGAGTTTATGATCTTACGTAAAAACACAATAAATTTTATAAATAATAACTTACGAAAATTTTATCGCAGTCGGATGAATAATAGAGGAATACATACGAGACAAACAAGTAAATATTCGAGTATAAATATTATAAAATTCATTCATCAAGAAATTAATATGTAAGATCTAATGACTCGATGCGTGGCTCAATTAGCAGAGTGGTAGCCACGTTGAGGCTACAGAAGCTCGTCCGAGTCCAGCCAGATCGAAAAAATTTTGTCTTTGCGTTTGTTGGATCTTTGCATCAATAACCAGTGAAGTATTTTCAAAAATAGATCAATATCAAGGAAGTATACACATCATGATATTAAAAAAATATATTCAAATAATTATATTTGATATTAATCAATGAATGCATCTTATGACGTATTTTTTAAGGAAGTGATGTGATTGTGCAACCAGTGCTGTTCATGTCATAACGGAATTTTTTAAATTTCCGGAACTTGTCGTCAATGGCACATTTATTCATTTGACAAAAACAGTTGGCCACATTTTCTTAATTCTTTTCAAGCCTTTTATCGTGTGGTGAAAAGATAAGATATTATATCACGAAGTAATTTATGCCGATTGGTTTGTTTTAGAAATAATAATCAAGTACAATCTCAAACACTCAAATTTCTCGAGTCTCTTTTTTGTTACTACAACACTTGCCATTATTTTCGAAAAGGAGAAATACTCGCTACAGAGAAGGAAATAAAGGAATTAAGAACTCTACACCCTTGTCCCACAAGTGTGTTTAATATGCCAATTAACAGGTAATTAACGTTAATACAGGTCCGTGTATTCAATACATACGCAATAAGCTAGTTTAAAATTATAAACCGAAATTCTCTGGTTCATAGCACAAATAGTTTCCTTTACTTCAAATATTTTTATCTAAAATTTATCAGATATTGTCTGTTGTAAGAATAATAATAACGTGTCAGATAATAACAGTGATGCAGTGATGGGCCACAGAGGTCGAACACTTACCTCTGAGATCTCAGTATAAATTTCTCCGTGTTCATCTTCGTAGGTAATATTGATGTTGACCACGGTGAAGGTATCACTGCTGCCCATGAATCTCTCATCGCCGCCATATCGACCAGATTCCAATTCGCTGCTCGGAGTATGGCATCCCACGAAAGCCGCAAACCAGCTTATAGCTGCCAGACTAGACCAGAACTCCACACGCATTTTCTCAAATAACAATCATATAATACCGTACACAATGTAGCACTTAAGTCCGAACCGGTACACACTTGGGTAAATATCGAATTGTCTTCAAACATTTAACGCGAAACTAGCGTTGTTACTACGCGACTTTCCGCGCTGTGTGTGGCACCGCGAATGACTTTCGAGCGTTATCAAACGCTATCGGTTAACGAAAACACACTCGTTTTACAAAACACTTATCGATATCACACGCGAATTCAGCTTTCTGCACAGCACTAACTTCTTCCTGACTTCGTGCAACACTAGGGATACTAATTTCCAAAAATGTGAGGCGTGTTTTCGCTATAATCTCTACTATCGTGACCTTTTACTTGCAGTTAATGTGCGTATTATTTGTTATATGTTAGTTGGCGCGAAGTCGACTGCTGCTCCATAACCGGCGAGGAACTTGACTGCAGCGGGCAACTGAAACAATAGAATTGTGACGTTAGTTCGTGGACGAGGCAAAAAAGTCGCGTGCGGAGGACTTAGCATAACGCAATGCTGTAAGCTGACGCAACAGTGCATGGACTAAGTGGGAGCAATTATACCGCCTGCATTTTTGTACACTCCATTTTGTTAAATAAACAATTCTAAGAAGCTATGTCTTATAATTGAAGTCATATAGAAGTACAATAGTTGTACATTTTTCATAATTTATTGAATAATCTATGTCAATGCTGTTGCATAAAACTAAATCTTGTCTTAACTCTAAACTGATGAAATTGAGAAAACCCATTTGAAAGTTCAAAAAATTGCTGAATGGAACCAATAAATTTGCATTTTCGTTTAAACGTGGATGGAGCTAATTATTACGTGTAAATAAAAGTCTTAAACTGCTTGCTAGATTCACCGAACTTTACGACCTGGGAGTCTTTAGTTGGGAAACTTTAGTCATTTCATTCATTCATTTTATTTTCTTTATTTTTATTCTGTAACTTTTGTACAACAGTAGAATAGATAGCTTATAAGTGTACTAACAAAATGGACCGTAAATTGTCGGCATTTTTTTTATTTTCTTCTTAAATAATCCCATTATTGGCAATAAGATTCATTCCATCAGTTTTGAGTTACGACAGTACTTCGTTTCGTGTGCGATTTCATGACGAATATTTTTTTAAATCCAACTAGTAGATTTCATAATTCTCTCACACTCCTTAAGGAGCTGTTCATAAATTTTAATCACGTATCGGCGTTCATTTCGTTGCTTACGGTCGCTGCCTGGTCGATATCGAGGCGACTATTTCTAATCCATAGCCGTATAATTCAATCTTAAGACTTCGAAACTGCAATTCTAAAAAAAAGTAAGTCCACATAAATACATAAAAATAAAAAGCCGTTGCCGGGTTTGACTGAAAGCCTCTCAAGCCGAGGCCGTGTGTGGCTCCTCTAAGTTTCTCGGAATTTAGGTGCAAAATTTAATTTGAAATTTAACTTGACCTTTTCGGTGAACGAAAACATCGTGATGAAACCTGCACGTCGAACAAGGTTCACAACCCTCGGAAAACGTATGGAGACACCAACCAGCATTGGGTCAGTTTAACGGACAATAACCTAAACCCTCGTCTGAGAAAACGAGGCGTGCATATTTTAAAGCTAGTCTAATATTAACTCACAACAGTTCCTCGTCACTAGATTTATTAATATATAGAGAATAGTAATGCAGAAATGAGTGCTACTTGTAAACGATAACATTAAGTTTATAGCGATTAAACTATTTACTTTATGTATCACAAACAAACAGAAGTTGTTTGTCATAATTTACCTACATTTTTTTATTCTAGAATATATAAAAACAAAGGCCATGTGATTATTGACGTATGTTATCGACAAGCTCCTTGGCAAGATTAGGTACAAATTTCGTATATTTATTTAGGATGGTGTCATTCAATTTATATGGATATTTTCAGGTAGCACAGTTTTAAAACAGCGTTATCGTTTTGACCTGATGCTTTTCAGTCTTTGATTTAATAGAGAAAAACAAAATATTGGTAGCAGTAGAGCTCCCTTTGAAAGAGCTGTAGCTGGTCCAGAACTTACCTATATTTGCCGCTAACCGGTAATATGAGCAATACTACGTTTCGGTAATGAAGGGTGCTCTTGTGAAATTACAGGCACATGGGACTTTTCAACTTATGTCTCAAAGTGACGGGCGCAGTGGCAGTGCCCCTCAAATCTTTGCATTTTAAAGCTCTGGGTAGTACTGCAACTGTTATGAACAGGCGTTTCGCTTACCATCAGGCGCACGACTTTGGTCTGTGGTTCCGTCACTTGATATTATAAATTTAAAAAATCAATGCACACGTTTTGTTCGTACAGTCACTTAATACTTGTATCCTAAAAAAACAAATCTTTTAAATTTTTTGTCTATTTTAATAGGCGTTATTAAAACATCCCCTCAACTTGGTGACAATTTAAAATAATTGTTTTGTGCAAACACAAAACAATTATTTGAAATTGTCACCATCGTGTCAGGATAGTACACGCTTTGATATGGACTGTACACAATACCAACGTTTCAAATAATGTAAACATTTAAACAAAGAGGTCGACGACAGAGGGCGATGACCAGGTGACTCTTAAAAGATAATTAATTATTCTTGCAGTTGCAGTTATAATCTGATTTCGTAATTCTTTTAAATACAAAGTGACGGGACGAACACGTCGTGCGCCTGGTGGTAAGCGACACTTCTGTCCATAGCAGTTGGAGTGATAATATGCACCTTAATTCTAAACCAATCTATAACAGTAAAAATTTGTATATAATCTAATTTAATTATCATTGCCATAAAACAACTACACGTAGTTACACATACACGTGTATTGTTGTTTAGGATCACAAAAAAATTTGAGTCCCAATGCTGCTAAACTTCAAAAGGTCAAGGGTAACTTCTAACTAATAGGACGCAATTACTAGCTAAAAAATATCGCATTATACCCATGTCTAACGTCCCTTTATATTGAATTGCATTATACACTAACAAGCCATGTACAATAGCAAATAAAAACGCCTTATTATATTTGAAATAAAAAAAGAACGATAAGAAAGGACGAACGATAAGTTAAAGTTCAGTTCAACATATTGTTTCTTTACGCCTAAACGACAAATACTCATATACAAACAGATGCTCGTAAATTGTCTAACTTTATACAATTAACTGTATTTGACTATATACGTGAGGCACACTATAAGTTTCCGGAATGAATAAGAAAAAAATACTCGAAATGATCAGAAATGAATTTATTGTTTCTCAAAATATTCTCCGTTAGTGTTAATGTACTTTTTCATACGAATGAACCAATTTTGAAAACATTTATGCCACTCCTCCGTGATAATCTATGAAACATATTTTTCATACATTCGACAGCCTCTTCAGGTGATGAAAATCGTTGACCGCGTAACTGGTTTTTAATTTTTGGAAATAAATAAAAGTCACATAGTGCCAGGTCCGGACTGTACGCGGGATGGCTCATAAGGTCAACGTTGTTCACTTTCAAAAATTCATTTGTCTGTCTGGCCGTGTGGGAACTGGCATTATCGTGGTGCAAGACGATACGACGTTTACGGTTATTTTTACGGAGTTTGTCAATAACTTCCGGCAAACAAATGATCGTATACTAATCACTATTCACGGTACAACGATTCTCCAAAGCAACAGTAGCCACGTGTCCAGTTTTATTAAAAAAAGAAGCAATCATCCGTTTAGAGACACTTTGCACGCGTGCCACTTCGGTTGGTTAAGGCTCATCTCGAAAGATCCATACGCTCGATTGCTGCTTTGTTTTAGGATCGTAACTATAAATCCATGTTTCGTCTCCTGTTACTATTTCCCACACTAAATTTGACGCCCCTTCATTGAATCTGGTAAACATGGCGTTTTTTGAGCTTCAGTTAAATTGTGTGGGATCCATCGAGAGCACAGCTTTTTCACACCCAAATGATTTGACTCATGCCTAGCCTAAAGAAGCCCGAATCTCACGGTACATCTCATGCCTGTCTGTTTTGATCATACGGCGCAAAACATCGATGTTTTTGTCGTTCACAGCAGTGGACGGGCGACCATCACACAATTCGTCACTGAGATTTACACGATCGCGTTTGAATTCTACAAACCAGCTATAAATAGTCGTCTTGCATGGTGCTTCATCGCCTAAAGCAGTTTGAAGCCGAGCGAAGCTCCGCTGAGCTCTTAAATTAAACTTAAAGTCGTATCATACTACAAAAATTTTCACAAGTTAAATCCATGGTGATGTAGAAAGCTAATTTCTAAAATGACGCCAGTGTAAAAACAAGTGACAGTCAGATGAAACAAACTGTATTCTACAGCCTAAGGAGTTTGATTTTCAAATGTTGTAATTACTTTTTAAATATTGTTTATGTAAGTGACCATTTCCGGAAACTTATAGTGCGCCCTATGTATCTACACTTTGCCCTTTTTAGGCTATTTATTTGATTTTAAAAAATCGGAACTTAACCGCGAATAAATATATTTTATTTACCTCGACGTTTTGGACATGTTGCAATGTCCGTGGTCTCGAAGGGACTGAAGAGCCGAGTGTCGACATCTTCTAGCAGTGCAAGTTTTTTTAACTACCCACACTTGGTCTTCATTATTTATTTGTGCACTAGAATTGTCGGTAAATAATATATTTATACGCGATTAAATCAAACATTTATGTAACAAACGTTCATGGTAAGGCCCTGATCTAAGTAACTTCACCTCAGTCTTCCCCTGCTTCTTTTTCCTTTGATCTTCCCTTCCACAATGCTTTTAAAAAAAGTCATGTATCAGATACCCAGACATCTCCGTAAAACGGATCGTTTTACGCTCTAGTCTCTACTCTTTGGCTCTGGTTGAACAACCTACAGTGAACAATATCTTTTAATATCATCGACACTGAAAATGGTACTAAAACAAATACTTTAGTAGGAAGCAGCGTTTTTTGGGATGATAAATCGTTAGTGCGCTGCATACATATAAATCGACAAACATAAAAATGAACTTTCAGAAAATAGTCCGTGAAATAGCAATAAAATTAAGAATTATTGTAACCGCTGACGGTGAAACAAAACATGCCGCCATATATTCGAAAATATGGGGTATTGTAGCCTATTTTTAAAAATCGAACTATTTTTTCGTTGGCTACAATGTTAACCGGGGACAGCCAAAAATAGAAAAAGAAATGTAGTGACGTATAGGGTTTTTCGTTTGAGTTTTTTTTTGTGTGTGTGCACTAGTGCGCTGTATTAGTTTATCCAAAGTACAAATAAAGGCAGATACAATAGATATAATAAAGGAATAAAGTTTATCCAAATTGAGATTGCAATGTTTTTGCACTTTCATTGTATTTTAATTGACCTTACTCAGGTGTGTCTGTACATCTGTTCGTGAATTTGTTGTGTTCTTCGTAATAACCATT